CAGTCCCGGCCCCTCCCTCTGACTCAGCCCCAGCCCCTCCCTCTGGAACAGCCCCAGCCCCTCCCTCTGGATCAGCCCCTGTCCCAGCCCCTCCCTCTGGATCAGCCCGAGCCCCTCCCTCTGACTCAGCCCCAGCCCCTCCCTCTGGACCAGCCCCAGCCACTCCCTCTGGATCATCCCCTGCCCCAGCCACTCCCTCTGGATCAGACCCAACCCCTCCCTCTGACTCAGCCCCAGACCCTCCCTCGGGATCAGACCCAGGCCCTGCCTCTGGACCAGCCCTTGGACCAGCCCTTGCCCAAGCCCCTCCCTCTGGACCAGCCCCTGCCCCTCCCTCTGGATCAGTGCCAGCTCCCCTCTCTAGCTCAGCCCCAGACCCAGGCAAGCCTTGCACCCTCTGTCCCAGTCGGACCGCCTTCTCTGCCACCGGATATGGGGAGCTGCGAGGTGTCTTGCCCTGTAGCCCAGAAGACACCATCTTACATGTCAACTGCCATTCAAAACCTGGAATGTCGCTTTCTGAAGAAGCAACTAGAAAGTGACAAGGTACACCCTGTGGTGAAAAGATCTCAGGAAGTCTTTAGCCAAGGTCCTCCCAACCTTCCGCAGGGAGGCCAGGCCCCCGCGGGCCATGGGTCAGACTCTGTCCTTCTTGGGGACTTGATCGACTCTGAGCTCCGGGAGCAACTGGAGTGGCACCTTTGGAACAGGCTCATGAAGCAAGAAAGGGGCCTGCCCCGCAGGATCCAGCTATCCCTGAAGATACAGCCTCACCAAGAGTTCCAGAAGGTGCCCCATGCACGCAGCTGGCACAGCCCCACATCCGAGTCTGAGTCTATGGATGGAAGCTGCCAGGCCACGCAGAAGACTCAGTCCAGGTACCCAGGAAGGACCCTGCCAGGAAAAAGCCTGGGCAAGGATTCAAGGTCCAGTGCAGGGAGGATCCGGAAAGATCTACACAGGGGCATGACGAGCTCTCCAGGGAAGGTTCCAGGAAGAAATCGTGAGGAGTCAGACACAGACGTGAAGACCTCCACAAGCAGCGCCGAAGAGAAACACCCAGCAAAAGACCTGAGAGCCCATTTCAGGAAGTTGGGGCAGTCCAGAGAGGGTCAGGTTCCTTCCAGGCTCACTGCCCACCACGCCTCGGACCTTCCTGGAAAGCCAAGCGCTCACGGAAAACCTGGAAAGCCAGCACTTTCCAAGTGTTGGGAACGCTGCATGACCACCTTCCACGATTTTTCCATCCTCAGTCCATACACTCAGCGGATGCTAGAAGCACATATCATAAGGCTTAGGGTGAAGCACCAGTGGGGCCTCCCCCTCAAGGTTCTCAAGCCTATAAATCTCTTCAAGTTGAAGAAGGGCTTCCTCCTCTCCCGGCCCTCCCTTCCCCGCTCAGCCACCTGCGTATCCAAGGCCGGCTCGGGGACCAAGTTCGTGGGAAATCCTCCTCATCCCTATCAAGGAGAGGTGATGAAAGAGTCTTATCCCACCTGGGGGGGTCCCCTCCATGCTCCCCAGCCTACATGTGAGGAAATCCAGCAGGCTCTGGAAGGGAACGCACCTGGGGGTGGCCCTCCGGCTGGACAGGGAACCAGGCCACCTTCTCGGACCTTCACATACAGCTTTGTGGGCAGAATCTGGCACAGTGAGACTGCCTCGAGGACTCTTATGAACAGCACCTTGGAGTCAAGTCCAAGTCCAGCAACGGCCACGAAGGAGCCAAGGAGGGCGTATGGGGGTTGGGCCTCACGGGACGTGACCGTGCTAGAGCTCAGCTTAGAGCCCCAGGATTTGAGTGCCGAAGAGCCCAGGAAGGTCGAGGAGGCCCCTGCCTGGGGAGTCACCTTAGAACCCCGTGTGCTGGCCAACAACCAAGGCCTCCGTGGCGAGCTGAGAAGATCAGGGTCTTCAGGGAAAAGCGACAGCCCCCTGCCACCTACAAAGTTGGTCGCCCGAGACCCCAAAGAGCTATGCCTTGAGGCTCGGCGCAGGGGATTGGAGTCCCGGAAGTTAATGGGGACAGAGAACTGGCCTCGGGCTGCCAGCCCCACCGTGCTCCTTCAAGACTGTGAGACTGGGGTCCTCCTTCAAGACTGTGCCACTGAGCGTCTCCTTCAAGACTGTCAGTCCAACGTGTTCCTCACTGCCGACGTCTTGGCTTCTCAGGGATGTCTCTCTGGCTTCCAGAGCAGGTCCAGCGAAGACACATCTACTTCCCAGTTGCCACATGGCCCAAGATCCCGTGGCCAGAGCCCCCACAGGCAGCCGGGACCCCCGGGACTGCGGCACCAATGGAAGAGCCTGAGCAGGTCATGTGTCCCCCCCGAGGAGAGAGAGAGCTCCAGGAGGTCCCCCTCGAGAGAACCTGACAACGAGTCATCCGAACTGAAGGTCCTCCCGATCAGTGAGGTGACGCGCCCCGTCCGGAGCCAGGAGTCCGCAGAGGCCTCGGGAAGCAAGGCCTGTGAGATCTCGGGGAAGGAGGAGGCGGCGCCTCCGGAAAACTACTTCAGGAGAAGGATGAAGCACGTGCTCCAGTGGTTCCTTCCCAGTAGAGGCAAGGGACTGGAAGATTCCCTTCAAAAGGGCAAGTCTTCGTCATCCCAGAGCCGGGGACAAGCCACAGGCAGGTCGGCCACGGACAGCGCTTCTGCCGAGGCTCAGGTGGTCGTGACCGCGGTGGGGCGGATCCTAGAGGAGAAAATGGTGCCTCACCAGGGACTCAGGGCCCCGGAGTTCAGCTGGTGCCAAAAGGATCTCCAGGCTTCGGCAGACCCCAGTGTCTGCTACCACAGGGTCCTCTCCTACCAAGAGCAGAGGAGGGTGATGAGGGAGACAGCCAGCCCACAGGGCACCCCCAGGGGCCACAGCTATGCCAACAAGACCGAGTGGATCGCGTGGCCCTTCCCCGCCCAGGTGCCTGGGGGCCCAGGCAGACCCTGCCAGTGCAGGTCCCAGGTGCCAGGCCCTTCACACCGCACCCTGCAGCCGCACTGCCCCAGGCACTGCCTCCTTCAAAGATACATCGCACCCGGCCAGCCCATGTGTGCTGCTCACGCTTTTCCTGGAAGGACAACTTTCCTCCAAGAAAAAACGCAAATGGTGCAGAGAAAAACTTTTTTTTCTCACATTAGCACATCCTCTATGGGCTAATGGCTTCTCCGTGCCACAATTACTTTGCTTCCCCAAAATACATGTTCTTTTTCTCGTGAGTGGTGCTGGCCTCTGTGTGTGCCCTGCTGCGGGGGGTGGGAAGGATCAGGGTCCGCTCTCCCCGAGGGCCTGCTTTGGCTTCCAGAACGAATGGGGCCTTGGAGGATGGGTGACCGCGGGGTCCACCCCCGCCTCCTTCCTCATCTCCTTCAGGGTTTCCACGACAAGGTGAACAAGGCCCAGACTGGGACCTCTCTCTGCCCATCCTCTCCTGCTTTCCCTCCACCTGGAGCTTGTGTGGCTGTAGGGACAGTCTGCCGAGGCAGAAATCCCGCCCGGGCTCCAGGAAGATGGAGTTAAGTCAGAATGGGGCCCGCAGTTGGGAGACACAAGGCTGGCCCTGAGGGCAGAGGTGAGAAATCCTGCCCCCCCCGCCACAGTCTCCTGCGGGGAGTAGAGGACGGCCTCCCCGGGAGCCTTCTCACCCCAGGGAATCCCGTCTTAGCTCCGTCAGCCCCTCTTTTCACACTCGGAGCAGCAAGGGACAAGCTTGATCCCGGCACTGAGGGTGTGTGGGGGGTGCCACAGAGACCCCCTAGGGACCAGCCTGCCCAGCCCCAGGGCACTGAAGGGGCCTGCTCACCAGCACCCCCTTCCCCTTCTGGGGGATGGGGG